AATATTTTTAATACTGAAAATTAATTTAAAAAATCAAAAAATTTATCTGATAAAAATATTTTTTTTTTCAAAAGAGCGGATAGCAGTTCCAGGACCCAAAGTTATTTAAATGATTTTTTTAATAAACAGGAAAATTCTTCAATAACGAAAAATATGTTAAAATCAGCTGTGATAGAGGTATGAATTCAAAATATACCTGAAAATAGGCAAAGATTTTTTGATCGAAAATTAATTAAAGATCGAAAAATCGATCTTATTCCTATTTACTAATATAAGAAGAACATTTAATAATATTTAGTTAATATCGAGGTAAGTCGACTTTGTTTTGGAAAAGGTTTCGAAAATTGAACTCTGTAACTGATGGAGAAGCTAAACTCTAAGCCGTAGGTGTGGCCCACTCAGTCGAAATATGCCCAAATATAGGCAAAAATAGGCTTTTTTAATAATTCATTTCAATTGAAAAATCTATGTCATTTCTAGCTATTAACAAACTTTTTATACCCTCCACCATTCGGAAAAAAACATCGAAAAATGCCGCTCAAATAAAAACCTTTATGTCGGGGCTATACGAAGACGAAGGCTGCAGTAACGATTCCGAAATTTAAATACAACATTCGAATAATGTCGTGAAAATCATCAAAATACCGAATAAAGGGAGGTACCGTTGTATTGGGGCAATACTAAGACCTGGACCTGCATAGAAAATTTGCCGTCATAGCTTGTGGTACCCGTTACGAACTTCAAATACGAAATTTGACGCAATCTCGGTGAATAATGTCGCGAAAATCCTGCAAATACCGAATATCGGGGTAGCGAATTCCTATATAGACAATTCTCTTCCAGGTGGTAAAGTACTCAGAGAGAACTCCTTATGTAGAATTTTAGATAATTCTATTAAAAAATGTAGCTTCAATTATTCAAATACCGAATATCGGGGGGCTATACGATATCGTGGACCTTTATAGACAATTTTCTTTCAGAGAGTAAAGTACTCACAGAGAACTCCTTGTGTAGAATTTCAGACATTGCAAAATTCCACTAAAATCATCAAAATGCAGAATGTCGGGAGGTACAGATATATGGGGGATATACGCTATCGTGAACCTATATAGACAATTCTTTTGCAGAGGGTAAAGTACTCAGTAAGAACTCCTTGTGTAGAATTTAAATTAATTCCATTTAAAGGTACAGTTATATGGGGACATACGATATCGTGGACCTATACAGACAATTTATTTTCAAGGGGTAAAGTAGTCACGACGAACTCCTTGTGTAGAATTTCAGACAATTTCATTGAAACATTTGGCTACAATCATTAAAAAAACCCGAACATCGGCGGGTACCGTTATATGGGTCTACACGATATTCGGGGACCATCTTCGAACTTGACTTGCCTGCAGACAAAAGATAGATAAGTGCAAAATTTTAGCTTCCTACCGTTGTTTGTTTTTACTCTAGCGTGATTACAACAGAAGGACAGACGGATGGACGGACGGACTGGGTTAAATCGTTTTAGAGTTTTACTCTGATCATTAATATATATTTGTTGGGTCTAAAATTATTATTTCGATGAGTTACAAACAGAATGACGAACTTAATATACCCTCCATACTATGTATGGTGGAGGCTATAAAAATACACATCAAAAGATCGAAAGTCAACATCGGCTTCCTTCAGTCGACTTGGGTTTGGATGTTTAAAATCGGTTTTAGCCGACTGGACAAGATCCACTTTTTATACTTAATCTACATATTTTTAGAAATTTTTGATATTTTTTTAATAAATTAACATTTTTTCTAATTTTTTTTTTTTCATTTTCATTCAATTTAATTATTTTTTTTGTAAATTTGAAAATATATTTTTTTAATTCAATTGACCATTTCCAAATTGGTTTTCCAAGGTTCTGCTACATTCCCCCCACAATTTCCTTCCACCGTACTCTTTTACACACACGCAACATTTCAATAATTCTGCCACACTATCAAAACTTCCATCAACGCCATTCAATAATTTCATCACTAAAAACTATTTTTATTTTTTTTTTTTTTTTGAATTTTCAATAGTTTCAAAGGCATTTCGGAATTACTTCCCTAATGAAACAAATTATTTTTTTTCGTTTTACTTTTTATTTTATGGCAAAATGTAATCTTCATTTAGAAAATTTGAGAAAAGCCGAACACACTTGAGAGTCTGCCACAAAGTAAGAACTTGCTGTGTGTTGTTTGTATTTCTTCGGAAACTAAGGCAATCTGTAAAAACTTCTTATCTTATCCATTAATAATAAAAACGATGATGTATGAAATTAAAGCGTAAATTGTATAAGTATTTTTTTTTTTGAGAAATAAAAAGGAAAGCACAAAATTGCCAGATGGCCTTGCTGCCATTTGGTTTTGCTACTCTGCAGGGAATACCGAAAATCATTTTTTTTTTGTAAAAAAAAATCAATTACGGAAGATGGTGAATTTTTAGAAAGAGTTTTAATGGATTCCATTCCCATTAGCAAAGGTCAGTCATAGGCCAAGATTTCAGGTATTACAAATATTTAAAATAGTCCGGAAATATTTATTGATAGACTTCCTAAAATATTTCCAATAATTGTTTTTAGAAGTATTCTTGAATTTTAGGCAGTCCAAAATTATTTTGAAAATATTTTTGAAAAAATATAAAAATTGTTTTTTTTTATAAAAATTCACGATTAATCTCCCTCAAATTTTTAAAACAAAAAATTTGAATAATTTCATAAAATATAAAAAAAAATAAAAATTCTCCAATTATTTGAAACCTAATATATTCAAATATAATTTCAATACTACGGAGGTTATATTAAACTTGTCATTCCGTTTTATCTCCTCGAAATAAGTATTTTAGACCCCACAAATAAGTATTTAGACCCCACAGGGAGAGATGAAAAAACTGCAACCAACTTCAGACTGTTGTCATTTCCAAGCCACCCGTCCGACAGCTGTTAAAATTATTCTAGTGACAGCTCATTATATTGTTTACAAGCGTACAAAAGCATTTTGGTGAGAATTTTCCAGAAAACAAGTTATTCGCAATGGAATTCAATCGTGATATTGTGATTTCTTTATATTTGGCTGGAAAACCACATGTGGCTATCGTTAGAGCACTCCAGCATCTAAATGTGAATAAATCTTTTGTGTCTCGTACCATCGCTCGTTAATGCGACTTGATCGAAATCCGCGTCGCGAAAATGGCTCGTGAGCAGAACATATCGCAATATTCAATTCGGCAAATATTGAAAAATGAGCTCGGGGTAAAGCCATTGAAATTCCAAAAAGTGCAAAAACTTACACCGCAACGGAATGAAAATAGACTAAAAAAAGGTAAAGAGTTGCTTCGCTTGGCCGAAAGTGGTGAACTGCTGAAATTGTTTTTCTCCGATGAGAAAACATTCGTTGTCCAGCAGTTTGTAAACAAACAAAATGATCGTGTTTACTTGCCAAAGAGGTCAGCTGAAAATGTGCACCTTCGGTTGGCCACCAGAACTCAAGCGCCTGCGTCCGTGGTGATGGTGTGGGCCACCATAACAGCCGATGGTAGCTCTCCGCTCGTATTAATCGGCCGTGATCAGATCAGAATAAATGCCGAATATTATCGCGAAAATATTCTGAAGGGTGTATTAAAACCTTGGGCACGCAAATATATTGGCCGCAGACCTTGGACATTGCAACAAGACTCAGCGCCGTCGCACTCGGCACCCGCCACTGGTTACAATGGTTATGAGGTTCCTCGCTTTATTTCCAGCGCACAATGGCCACCAAAATCTCCGAATACCAATCCGTTGGACTATTCTGTCTGGAGTATTTTGGAAAGCAAGGTTGGCACTAAAAAATACCAAAGTGTTGATCACCTCAAGCAAGTGCTTCGCCGGGAATGGGCCAAAATACGGCAGAGCTACATTTGGGCAGCGTGTGACATTTTCGTTGGCCGTTTAAAGGCTATTATTCGTACCAAAAGGTGACCAATTCGAACAAATCTAAAGTTATTCTAAAATGTGATGCTTTTTCCGACATTTTTTGCTTTCATTCAATAAAATTTAAAAAAAAAAAAAAAAAAAAAAAAAAAAAAAAAAAAAACAGGGAATACCCTCCACCATTTCAAAATCCGATAAAAATTCTGTCAAAATCTTAAAAATACCGAATACAGCCGATATATTGGGGGCTCTACGACGTGAACCTGCATAGACCGTAGACCGGAGGTACCGTTACATCAGAGCTATACGAAGACCTGGACTTGCATAGACAATTTTCTGTGACAGCATGAAGCATCCATTATGAACTTCATATGCACTTCATCGGGAGGTACAGCTATATGGGGGTTATACGAAGACATAGACCTGGACAGGCAGTTTTCTGTCATAAGTTGTAGTATCCATTACGAACTTCAAATATCAAATTTGAAACAATTCCGGTGAATAATGTCACTAAAATTACCAAAATATTTACAGTTTATTGGGCCTTACATGAGTATTTCGAGAAGTTACAAACGGAATGACAAAGTTAATATAACCTCCATATTATGGTGGAGGGTAAGAAAATGTAAAAATTATGGAGTTTGACTTATGGAGTTTACTTTCCAACCTAGATTCTTATACCAAATTTCAAGTTTATAACTCAATCCGTTCACATAATACCAAATGGTACCACTTTCGAACTTTTCGTAATCTTAAAGTTCGAATTTCCTAAAACCCTTTTGTGTAGCTATCCTGCACTCAATCGGTGAATCTCATTCCAGATTTAAAGTTAGTCTCATTTGTATTTTAGTATATTTTAGTACTTTTCGTACCCTTTTAGTAAAAATTTCCTGACTGATCCGTGCAAAATATCAAAATATCGTCTGGCCATAATTTTTAGTCACTCTTTTTTATATTCAGATTTAAAATATTAGCAATTGGAGATTAGTGTTTCCTTTAACTTTTTCTTTATTATTTTTTTTAATTATTTTTTTAATATTATAAATTAAATTTGAAAAACACTTACTTCACCGTCGCTTAATAGAATTCCCATTTTCTTGTTTGTGTATTCGGTTTTCTGATCGCTTTATGTTTTCCTTGCTTTGGCTTTTCTTGTTTCTGATACTTTGTGGTTTATATCTTGGAAGGCATTAATTCCAGCTTAATTTTTTTTTTGTTCGAAACACAACACTTGATTATGTTATTAAATTCTCATTTAAATAATATTCCAATAAATCTTTTCACAAATATTTTGCAGAGCTATCAACTTTTATGAATGATCATAAATTGAATATTTTTTCCGATTATAAATATTTTTATTATTATTTTATTTGTTGTTGTTATTGCTTGATATCTTAATATTCGCACTATTTTGTAGACAATTTTGTTTTTTGTAATTTCTATAAAATCTCCCGTTTTATATGAATTTTCGACAGCGGCCGTTTTAGTGTGACTTCCTTGAGGTCGGCCGAGATACTAAACCAAACAAAAAAACTTGTCAAAGTAAACACACAAACTTAAAAGGCAACACCAGCAAGTCAGAGACTCGCCACACTCTTTGCTTAGGTAAGCAAGCTGGTATTACAACAGCAACAACAACAACTATAGCACCATTTCATTTGTATATCCCTACAGAAATCCACTTCTTCATATAGGCATTACTATACTCTTAATGGCAAAGAGCCTTAGCTCACAAGAGCTGCTTTGTTTTTTCGTCTTCTCTAACCACCAACCCAACACGAATGTTGTTGCCGTTGGTTGTTGCACCATATACAACAGCAACAACAACAAATGGTATAGCGCTGTGTTGTTGGACTTTTTGGCTCTTTGGTGGAAGTCAAGATAAAAAAAGTCAATTTTCATCAATGAAATCAAATCGGAGAGCCTTAAAATCAACACAAACACACACACACTCACACCCATGCAGTGAGAGCCCCAAAAGAGTAAAAGAGAAATGAAATGAGGCATGTAAAACGAAAGGTGTTGGAGTGGGACAACAAATATCAATGGTTATCATTTTCTGTGGACAGGTAAAAGGAAATCATCACCACCCCTCTGCAGAGCACTCTCTAACACCAACACTTTACACAGACACACACACACACACAATCACAAGGGCCCTTAAGTCATATTCGAAAAAAAGGAAACACCACAGAATAGGCAGACAGTTCCTTCCTCCTTCGCCACTTAAGGATGACAAGAAATTAGGCAACAATTTCGTTGTGAATCTGATCCTGGCCAGACCTCAAAGTAACTCTCAGCGGCTTAAGGGCACCACAAAAACAACAAACACTAGAACAGGTTCCTACGCTTCCTACAAGTACCTCTCAAGTAATTCTAGCATTTCGGCTGCCGTTGCTCTTAATCCTAGCCCTAATCCCCGCTCTAAGGCCAATGTGGGCTGGCTGACTGGCTGGCTGTGAGTGTTTGCTCAGATCTTAATGAAAAGTCACAACAATCGTTGTCGTCTCTCAGCCTAAAAGTCAAAACATCGATGACACATCACCATGCCGAAGGCATGAAAAGTAGGTTGATCCCATCTCATCCCATTCCCATGTTTCCTAAATCCAAAAGAAAGGCAATTAAACTGAATTGGCAATGAAGTGCCGCTTGTTTTCTTCCGAGTGCATGGATTATTGCTTTATTTATGGTTTACGAATTATTTTGAGAACTCATTAAACGGATGCGGAAGTTGGCGGAGTTGGCAAAAAGGAGGGAGAGAGGCAGAGTTTCAAGAGTTTACAAATTATTTCTTGAGGGGATTATTAATTATGAGAAGTAATAATGCAGATCAGCTGTTTAGAGTGTTGGGTTTTATATGAAGTGGTTAATGGAAATAAGCGATAACAATACAGATAGGATCCTAGAGGGAATTGGTTTGGGCTAGGAGATTTGAATCTTGGTCCAGAAGGTCTTCTATGAGAAGAAAACCTTCTGGTCTTCTATGAGAAGAAGACCTTCTGGTCTTCTATGAGAAGAAGACCTTCTGGTCTTCTATGAGAAGAAGACCTTCTGGTCTTCTATGAGAAGAAGACCTTCTGGTCTTCTATGAGAAGAAGACCTTCTGGTCTTCTATGAGAAGAAGACCTTCTGGTCTTCTATGAGAAGAAGACCTTCTGGTCTTCTATGAGAAGAAGACCTTCTGGTCTTCTATGAGAAGAAGACCTTCTGGTCTTCTATGAGAAGAAGACCTTCTGGTCTTCTATGAGAAGAAGACCTTCTGGTCTTCTATGAGAAGAAGACCTTCTGGTCTTCTATGAGAAGAAGACCTTCTCTTCTGGTCTTCTATGAGAAGAAGACCTTCTGGTCTTCTATGAGAAGAAGACCTTCTGGTCTTCTATGAGAAGAAGACCTTCTGGTCTTCTATGAGAAGAAGACCTTCTGGTCTTCTATGAGAAGAAGACCTTCTGGTCTTCTATGAGAAGAAGACCTTCTGGTCTTCTATGAGAAGAAGACCTTCTGGTCTTCTATGAGAAGAAGACCTTCTGGTCTTCTATGAGAAGAAGACCTTCTGGTCTTCTATGAGAAGAAGACCTTCTGGTCTTCTATGAGAAGAAGACCTTCTGGTCTTCTATACGAAGAAGACCTTCTGGTCTTCTATACGAAGAAGACCTTCTGGTCTTCTATACGAAGAAGACCTTCTGGTCTTCTATGAGAAGACTTTCTGGTCTTCTATGAGAAGACTTTCTGGTCTTCTATGAGAAGACTTTCTGGTCTTCTATGAGAAGACTTTCTGGTCTTCTATGAGAAGAAGACCTTCTGGTCTTCTATGAGACGAAGACCTTCTGGTCTTCAATGAGAAGACCTCTAGCTCTTCTATGAGAAGATTTTCTCGTCGTCTATGACAAGACCTTCTCGTCTTCTATGGGAAGAACACCTTTTGCTCTTCTATGAGAAGACCTTCTGCTCTTCTATGAGAAGAATACCTTCTGGTCTTCTATGAGAAGACCTTCTGGTCTTCTATGAGGAGAAGACCTTCTGGTCTTCTATGAGGAGAAGACCTTCTGGTCTTCTATGAGGAGAAGACCTTCTGGTCTTCTATGAGGAGAAGACCTTCTGGTCTTCTATGAGGAGAAGACCTTCTGGTCTTTTATGAGGAGAAGACCTTCTGGTCTTCTATGAGAAGAAGACCTTCTGGTCTTCTATGAGGAGAAGGCCTTCTGGTCTTCTATGAGGAGAAGACCTTCTGGTCTTTTGTGAGGAGAAGACCTTCTGGTCTTTTGTGAGGAGAAGACCTTCTGGTCTTCTATGAGAAGAATACCTTCTGGTCTTCTATGAGAAGACCTTCTGGTCTTCTATGAGAAGAATACCTTCTGGTCTTCAATGAGAAGACCTCTAGCTCTTCTATGAGAAGATTTTCTCGTCGTCTATGACAAGACCTTCTCGTCTTCTATGGGAAGAACACCTTTTGCTCTTCTATGAGAAGACCTTCTGCTCTTCTATGACAAGACCTTCTCGTCTTCTATGGGAAGAACACCTTTTGCTCTTCTATGAGAAGACCTTCTTCTCTTCTATGAGAAGACCTTCTCGTCTTCTATGGGAAGAACACCTTTTGCTCTTCTATTAGAAGACCTTCCGCTCTTCCAAGAGAGGATTTTCTCGTTGTCTATGAGAATACCCTCTCGTCTTCTATGAGAAGACCTTCTCGTCTCCTATGGGAAGAACACCTTTTGCTCTTCTATGAGAAGACCTTCTGCTCTTCTATGAGAAGACCTCCAGCTCTTCCAAGAGAAGATCATCTGTTCTTCCAAGAGATTTTCTGCTCTTTTATACGAAGGCTTTCTGGTCTTCTTTAAGAGGACCTCCTGACCTTCTATAATGAGATCTTCTTGCTATCTATGGGAAATCTTCCGGTCTTCCTTGAGAAAACCTTTCGATCTTGTATGAGAAGTTTTCTTGTTTTTTTTAGAAGACCTTTTAGTCTTCTGCCTTCCATGGGAATATGTTCTGATTCACAAATAGAATGAGTCTCCAAATTTATTAATTGTTAAAATATCATCCATAAAATTTGCCTACACCTCCATGGTGGCGCTAAAATAAAAACATCAACACCTCTTTCTCACCTTTACCATTTGGCGTTTGTTTAGGTAATTCGGTGGGTCACACACTCCATGGAGTCGAAATGTGGTTGTGCCCTCCGTGTTGTCATGATGTCGTCGTTATTGTTAATTGAACATATTCCAAGAAAGCGCGTGCGCATGCGCCAACCAAACAAAGCAACACCTCCAACTCCATGCTCGATGCATCCATTGTCTTGGTCTTTATTGGCTTCTGTTTGCTTTGTTCGGTTTCTTTTCTCTTTTTTTGATGGTATCTTGTTTTTCTTCTCTTCTTCGCCCCAAACTAAATGTGATACCTTGTGATGGTGTCTGATACGATCAACGATGAAAGATTCAGGTGATCAGTAAGTGTGGAATATCCCATTATTGTGTGGCTAATATGGGTATTAGGAATCCATTAACTCTGTGGGATGTAAAGAATATCGGCTTTCATCGGGTTTTTCGCTTTTTTTGGTTTGAGAAATTATGGCTTTTGGGGTTTTTTGTTTTTGTTATGAAATTTCTTTGTTAATTTGAAAATGATATACGATGAGGTCAATTAATTCTCAACGAGGAGCTAATGGGATGTTTAAGAACTGGGGAGGAAAAAAGTTGTCAATTATCCTTTGAAGTGAACGGAAAGCAAAAATATGTCGCTGATGTGGAGTCACTGACCTTTTGTGGGAAGTGAATCGACAACAGCATGTCTTCGACCTAAGTCTAGTTTTGATAAAAAAATGTACCAAATTTCGACCAAATTGAATACTCCCTTCGTACCAGCCCAACAAATGAACAAACAAACATCGCTGGACCGATTACAAATCCCCTTAAAAGGATTTTATCCAAAGAGTCCTGTGGGCCTATAAGCATTATTTCGATGAGACACATTTAGGCTATTAGACTAAGGCCATAAACCCTGATACGGAACATTTGATGCTTAAAAAGCGGTAAAATGTTGTTTCCTCTTTTTCTCCCTCCTCCATTGACCTCCAGCGCTTAAATGCATTATCAAAGATCCGACTGCCGCCATGCACATTTTAATAAATACAATAATTTGTACGATACGCGTGAATATATTTGTATGCCGGTCGGTCGGTCGGTAGGTCTTTCTGTCGGATCTGTCCGACCCTCCAGCGGTGTTATCTAATTGTTTTGTCGTGTAATTTGGCTTTTTATTACCGCAAGCCAATGGAAATGTCATGGACGGAAAGAAAAACAAGCTTCGAGCACGAGATCAACACAAATTAATAACTAAAAGGCATGGGGTGTTTTAAAACATCGGAGTGCGGCTAATACCAATTAGAATATGAGAAAGACAACTACGACAAATTTGAATAAAACCTTAACACAGATGGTCTGCATTTTTATTATTCTAAACAATAACAACAACAATAACACCCATCTGCAGCACAGAAAACGAAATAAATGCTCTGATTTTTTATTGTTGTTGTTTTTGTTCTTCTGTAACGAACAAATTAATATTGATTTGAATAAAATACAAATAAAGTAGTCTGGCGCACTTTGCATTAAGAGGCCAAGCAACAACAACAACACATCTTAAAAAAAAAGCAACAAAAAAATAAAAATCTCAGCCGACCCTACCCT